AGACAATTCGTGAAGCTTCGTATTGGATTTTATCAAGTTCATTTTTCTCATATTGAGTACAATTTATAAAGACAGTATCGGCGTATTCTAAAATAGGTCTGATGTATGACAGATAGAGAATTTCTAAAGATCTACGATCGAGTTGACATTTACGTCTACGCATAATATGTAAACGTTTCCAAGCTCTTTCCTTTATGTAGTGAATATGAGTATGCCAAGAACCATTGTCAGAAAAATGTAAACCAAGGTGCTTGTGAGAAGTAACTGCAGATATTATTTCGTTTTGCATAGAAAGATGTGGATGAAAAGGTTTATATGTTTTACGTGTGATTGTCATGGTTTCAGATTTAGAAGGATTGAACTGGACCAGCCATTTATCAGCCCATAAAGAAATTTTGTTTATATCACTTTGAAGAGTCTCAGCTGCATGTATTGGATGATCGACGATTAAATAAAGGCTGGTATCGTCAGCGAAAAGATTTACACAAGACCTTAGATCTATAACAATATCATTTATATAAACTAAAAAAAGAAGTGGACCCAAAATCGAACCTTGAGGGACACCTGCTTTGATAGAAGACCAATCAGATTTAGCACCAGGAAGAACCACAGATTGACGTCTATTTGACAGATAGTTTGAAAACCAATCAAGAAGAGGTCCTTGAATACCAGCTCCTTGTAACTTAAGTAGGAGACCTTTGTGCCACACTTTATCGAAAGCCTTGCTTATGTCGAAGAACACAACTCGTATCTCTAGACCGTCATCAAGTGCTTTACAAAAAGAATTGTAAAGAAAAGTTAGTTGATTCACAGTTGAATCACCGGGTTTGAAACCAGATTGAAGGGGAGATATAAAGTCATTTTAAATTTAGAAACATTGGCGTATGTGTTCAATACTAAAACTGCAAGCAAGAACTTTTAAGGCATATATTATACCTGTGAGTGGTATAAGAAAAATAATGAGGCACGTCCCTGTCATCAGATAATCACGGTTAATCCTAATTACCCCGGTATTTATACTATCTTATTGACTGAATATATTCCATTTAAGTCCAATATCATCGTCGGTTACCCACGGTATATATTACGATGGTATATACATTGTATAGACGGTGGTCCTAAATGTAGGTCCTGAAATTTTTAGCGACATGTTAGGTTTTTTTCTCTTTATTTTATTTATAGATCATGTCCTATCCAGATTTGTTTTGTTGTTGTTGTTGTTTCAAAAAGAGAAATACGGAATCCCTAAAGAACGTCCAAAAATGACGAAAATGAAAATGTTGCAGAGTCTATTATGGACGGTATTGACAAGTGCTAGTCTTGTCCAAGCAGAATTCAGTATTTAAACATGAAAATGGTAATTTCTTATTTAAAAACATCCGCAGATGTGTCCATACGGCGGTTATAACAATATTGTATACACGATAAATTACATAAACATAAAAAATTACGGATTGAACACGGCGCTTGAATAGGTTTTTATAAAAAAAAACGTACTCAGTATTACATAAAATATATATAAATGGTTACAAAATATGCAATAAATTAACCATTTCAACGTTTTTCAATGGGTTTTTGTTCTGCAAAAATTACAGGAGGGAAAACAATGTTAAAGAGTGACAGATATCTAGAAGCGTGCTCTACTATTTCCAATTTAAAAAAGCCAAAACAAATCTGTGCGAAGTTTGATGATTATAATTTATTTTATTTTCCGTTTCTCACATACTAATATACGTCTTCCATAAAAGAAAACATTTAAACTTTAAGTCAGTATATTCCAGACTAAGCATTCTAGTGTTTGCTATGAAAGATATATATTCACAATGATTTTTTTTTTGCGTTGTCAAGTATAATAATGTGCCAAGTAATGATTTCAGGAATTTCTCTATATAAGTTTTGTCTGTTGTATGTTGACGTCTTGTCTGTCACATGAAGTCTTCATAACCCCAGATTATCTTTCAAAATTTCATTTTATCTAATTCCGCCAATTGTTTTCTGTTTCGGACACACGCTTTCTTTTAATTAGGGACCTAACGCAGCTTTTCATGGAATGTCACTAACGTGTCACATTGAAGGTTTCGTGATAACCGACGTATGAACACATCTGCCAAACTGTCTAGATTAAAAATATTACCATTTTCATGCTTAAATGTTGAATTCTGCTTGAGCCGGCGCTAGGGGACGTGGACGGTAGTTTGCACTTGAAAGTACCGTCCATGAACAGGCTCAATCAAACCGAGTCTGCAACATTTTCAATTTTGCCGTATTGGTTTTTCTTTTGGGATTCTTATTTTCTATAATTTATACTTGGAAGCTGGATAAATCCAGAATTTCAGTATGTTCAGAGATGATAAATCTATGAAATAAAACAATTGTTAAAAATTGTAAATTATGCTTAAAACAAATATCTACATGTATTGCATATGTTATTCAACACAAAAATACTTGGATACGAAATCGGATCTTCAAATGAAATTACTTATAAATTACTTATAGTCTAATACTCCATAAAGCTTTCACCTACTGACCTACTTTATTAAATAATTATCGTTACAGTGCCTCTTAAAAACCGCTACCTAAGAGGATGTTTAAGATAATGTATGTATTAATTAAGTTAGAAGTACAATGAAAAAGAAATCAAAGTCAAAGTCATTTTACCTTTATATATTCGAGCAATATATCTAATGTAATAATTCATAAAAAACATTGTTTCACACTTGTACAAAATGAGCTAATATCTTGAGGGTTAAAAAGAAGATCACGCATTAGTCAAGGCGAAATACTATGTCCATTTATCTTAAGATGTGGTGGTAGTTTTACTTCAAGGCAAGTAGAGTCGGGTCAGCTAAACTATTAATATTTTACTTTCACTGAGATATTTAAAAATGAACATAAGAAACAAATGGTGGCTTCAGGACGTTCGCTGTGTGAATGTTTGTTACCTTGTACGAAGAGTTCAAACCGTATTCAGTCTCCCCATACATATAATCAAAGATGTTATATTTTTTTTCCTTGAAGATATCGTTCAGGACGACATTATTGTTGTCTGTACATGTTTGTGATATTTTAGTTCATTCTAATTGACCTTTTGTTACAATTTGGATTGTTCCAGTATTCCTACCTGAATACTGTATAATCTCTTTAAGGATATGGTGCCTTCTTATTAAATTTGCCTTTTTGACATCTTATCTGTGATATGCAGGCTTCATAACCTCTGATACCCTTTCAAAATTACATTTTATTTAGTCCCATCCATAGTTTCTCATTAAGGTCACATTGCAAGTTCCATGATAACCACAGTATGAACACATCTTGCGATCCGAAATGAGATTGCTGACATCATGGTATAACTTTATTGGTTGAATATATAAAGTTATATCCTGTTTCACTGGTTAGCATTAAAGTTAATATTTATATCTTAATTATCGGTTTCGGTACGGTTTTCTAAATTGATCAAGCTCGTAGATTTTAAGGGTTAATTCCACGCTAGGTCTAGCAAAATCCATTCGCATCACGTACATGATACAATCAACATGCTATTAGAATAAGCTTCATTTAATTAATATATCTGTTTGTTTGGGTGGCTACAGTTAATGTCATATATCATATGGCGCCGAAATAGGAAAGATGATTTTGGCTAGCCTTGGGTGTTACAATCTACATAGCAACGTCAGGGGTCAAACCACCTCACCTGCTGAAGCTGAGAGAAGCATAGACTCCATTATTCAAATCCATTTTTAACCGCCTGTTAAGGCAATCCCTCAGCCACAAGAGGCACTCAGATTACTTTGTGACCGAGATACCGTTACGATTACCCTTCTATTATATGACCTTATAAGTTAAATTTATATAGTTTATAATGCTGTATATAATAGGTCATTGTAAGGGTATCTCGACCTGGCCCCGTGATCACTAACAAAATAATCTGCATCAGGTGAAATGCTCTTGTCTTTTGTTTATTTTTCGGAGCTTTATGTACAGCGCTAAAATTGATCGTATATAGCTAAAATAAAATTGTTGCAAACATTTGCTGGTATGCAAAGAAACAATCCTACTTCAAGAGAAGAACAAATGGATCAAAATTGTAATAAATTTAGAATAAATACCAACTGTTAAATACCCGTACCTTATTAATTCATGATTACATTTTTTTAAAATTTCATTAACATGCTTTTTATTTCCATTTTTATTAGGTAAGTATCGAATACTGAATCAGTTAGTGCCGTTTGTATTGCGTAGACTACTTTCTTTGTTCATTTCATAATAGATAGTTTAAATTTTCATGAAAATTAGCATGAATCCGGAAGCATGTTGCTTTAAACACTTGTTTTCTTCTGCAATTTTTCAACGATATGTTGTTATCCTGAATACAAATGTCCTAAGTATTTCTTTTAATTTTTTCTTTTCACGCATGAAAAGATAAATCACAACTGGAAACATCTTTGTAGGAAAAATTGATATGGCACTTCACCGCAATTAACAGCATTTACATGTTCCTCAAAATTTGATAGATTTGATGAATTCCGAAAATCCTCACCTTTTTTAACGTTTAGTTAATGAATCAGCATCATTTAACACGCTTATTACACTTTGTAATATTTCATTGTTATTTTACCAGCAACATTTTGTGCCTAATGTATGAAAAATGTAACAAGAATTTGCGCTTATAAAGAATGAAATGGGGCAATAGAAGCAGAGGTATAGGGTTGAGTAAGTTTGTTTATTCATAAGTTCATCACAGTTTCATGGTTTTTAACGAAAATATTCATTAATAAATAGAGGTTAATTATTATCCATGTATCTAAGTGTCTCATTTTTCAAATCTGCGAAATATTTGCACCAGGCTAACATGAATTCTTCAAAGTTAAAGGTGCGAAATTAGTGGCAAGTAATCATAAGTCAGAATTTACCCGTCGGCCATTTTCCGTCTTTGTCACTTGACGCTTGTTGTCATTAGACGATTGTTGTCATTAAACGCTTGATGCTAATTCTGTCTCACTGAAGCGCTGTAACTGAGTGAAAGAAGGCGGTCAGTCCGGCGTTAACATCACCTTGAAGGTGTTCATTCAGTTGATAAACTTTACATGTTAGAATTAAACTAAATAGATTAAGATATAACATACATCTTCAGAAATCCAGATTTATATATTTGCATCGGAATTATTTATTTACATTTTAAGATGCAACATTTTGTGTGAATACTATATATATGTATATAAAAAGTTGAAAAATATCAGAAAAAAGGTGAGTTTTCATTTTGTTTCACAATTTGTTTTTGATAAACATTTATATTTTACATTGGTACCATTTAGCTTGAAGTTTTATGAACCAAAGGCATCAATGACAAAATTGAGTTGCTTAGACAAAAGTTACTATTCTATTCTATTATTGAATTTTTTTCCTTATTATCATTGTTATTGAAAGCTTCATGTGATTAACTTTGATGGTTTTTACATGATACATTTTGATGCTGTTTTTACATTATATATTTTGATGTTGTTTTGTACATTTTATATTTTGATGATGTTTTGTACATGATACATTTTGACGATGTTTGTACTTGATATTTTCACCAGTAAACTAGAAAGTGACTTCGATACAGAAGCTCATAATTTGAACGCTTCTTCTTGAAGATCGTACTTTACAAACATGAACAAAATAATACAACAATTTGCTGTATTTTTAAATGTATAGAATGTTATTTTGTGTGTAGTAATGTGTTAATTCGATGTTAAGAACATTATAACATTTTTTCAACTGTAGACTTTGTTTAATGTAAACATGATTTCAACTAACAGGATCGTTTCATAACATTTCCTAGATGTTTTTATGTACGTCTATATATAAAATTATCATATATATATATCTTAGCTTTAGGTATAAATATGTGATATCATTTAATGTTCATATAGTCATAATAAAAGAACGGTCCACATTTCTTTTGTTAAATCATTATTTTATATATATAAAAAACTGAACGTTAGTTTGTTCTTGCTATATAATTTTGATAGAGATTAAATATAGAGAAAGATAATCCACAGAAGATAATTGTCCTGAATCGAGTACTTGTTCATTTTCTTGGACAAAACTGTATTTTTTTAACATTTCAAATTTTTTGAAAAAAAAAAATAGATAAAATATTCAAGATGCACTTTATTTTCTTCTTCGTGCATTTTCATTGATAATAGCCACTGCTGTATTAGTTTATTCAAACGTAAAAAAGTCTGGAATGTTACGTTACAGCGTTACAAATTTATGTACTACGCGAAATAAACATGGTACGTATTAATTGCAAAACGTTACGTGATAATACCGTCGCCTTTTACGTAAAACGTAAACGTGCCGTTATTTGTACATGATTCATTTGTTGATGTACATTAAGTGCGCATTTTGTTCAGTTGATAAAGAATTATCCTAAATCTGTTCAGCTCATTAAAACGTGAATACACAATTTTTGCCGTTTAGAAGATTCAGTAAAAGGATGTAGCAATTCATCATATATATTATATATCATTTCATTTTATCATTAATGAAAATTGGTTGAAACATTTCAAGTTGCGTATATGTGTCTGGGAAAAAATAGATGAATAAAGACGACGATTCTGGTAACAATCATGGTAAATAAATATAATTCATTTTAAGTTCATAGTCTGTTTTATTCAGTCAGATCTAACGTAGACACGAGTTTATATGATAAAACGTTCCTATTTCTGTGTGCTGTTTATATGGTAAAACGTTACCACATTTGTATTTCCTGTGCGGAGTTTATATGATAGAAAATTACTATTCATGTGTGTAGTTTATATGGTACAACGTTACTTTTCCTGTGCAGAGTTATTTTGGTAAAAAGTTACTCTTCCTTTGCGTTGTTTATAAGATAAAACATTACCATTTCTGTACAGAGTTTATATGAGCCGCGTCACGACAAAACCAACGTAATGTGTTTGCGACCAGCATGGATCCAGACCAGCATGCGCATCCGCGCAGTCTGATCAGGATCCATGCTGTTCGCTTACAAACCCTATAACAAGTAGAGAAACTGATAGCGAACAGCATGGATCCTGATCAGACTGTGCGGATGCGCAGGCTGGTCTGGATCCATGATGGTTGCAAACCCATTATGTTGGTTTTGTCGTGACGCGGCTCATATGGTTTAACATAACTATTCCTGTGCACTGTTTATATGGTAAAACGTTACTATTTCTTATCGGTGCTAACAAAATGTGCAGTTGTTCAAATATCTACCGAGCGTTATAAAGTAGTAATTCTCTGGTGAAATTTATAGAGAGAAAAAATAAGTTTAACCTTAAGTTTTCAAATGTATAAGTGTAATGATCCGATGGGGTGATTTTTTTTTCAACATGACAACATGGACGCCTGTCAAAATACATCATTGAAAACATTACGCTAGCTCAGTAGATCATGAAAATGCATCTAAACGTTTGCAACCATTCCTGCATCTATTGTGATATTTTTTATTTCAGTATTGTAGTTTTTTTAATGTTTCAAGGACCATAAAAGGCGTATGTGTATGTTGGGGAACAATAAACATTTCTCTAACCGGTGCATTTGCAACAAGTTATGCGTTTATTGTCATTTTTCAAATAAAGGAGACATTATTTATGTAGACTAAGAAAAGAATATATAAATATATATATATATATAAATTTGCAATTTTACAGAAAGTCAAATAAATACATGTAATTCATGTTTTAATTGTGTAATAGGTGTCTTGTTTCTGACGTCATAAATGACGCAATGTCTGCAAAGCATGTTTTATTAATTGGCGATGCATATATTAATTTAATTACCTTCACCGTTATAATCACAAATTTTGCTGTTGTTTTGTTGTTGTTTTTGTGTGTTTCTGACGAATCACTCAAACGTGTCGCAAATTGACAAACGTGTGATTTTGATTGACACTTCAAACACTTCTAATTGAAATGACAGACAATCCGGGTGTTGCGCAATATATCAACAATGATATCCTTTACAGCGTAACAACAGCGTTGATACAATATACATATAAAATATTAAAGGCTGATTACAATTTCGATTTCAATTTTATTTATTCACTCAGATCATACAAACATGACTACATGAGGAATAATACAATTACATGTACATTATAAATGAGGCTTCAGAATCAGTATCAAAATAACATGATATATAAATTGTTAACATAAATATTGCGGGAGAGTCAGTATTAAAACAAATACTTCAATAGGGTTCTCCACTACATTAAATTTATACGATTTTTAGCTCATTTGAATCTTAATATAATTTCTTTAATAAATAAACAAAGATTTTTGTAATCTGGAATGTTAACATCAGTGTTCATAAGAAGATCAATAGAATATATATTATGTTTCTTTAAATAGTTATGTTTCAAAAAACGTTTTCTGCTGTTATCAAAACAAGGACACTCAAAAATATAATGAAATTCATCACCAATTAATCTATCACACAGTGTACAGACACGCCTGTTAAGTTCGATGTTGTTCCAACTTCCGGTTTCTACTGGCAATTTGTTATTTCTTGTTCTAAATTTTATCATGTATTGTAAAAAATTTGATGGAGTTTTTACAAAATATGTTTCAAAACAAAAATTATGTTTGAATAATCTATAATTTATGCATTTACTAGAATTCTCAATATCAGAATACCACTCATTTAAAAATAAATCTGATAATTTTTGTTTGACTGACATCGTTAACCATTTATGGTTATGAAATTCATGGTTATGCTAAATGTTATAAAGTCCACATTCATACAAAATATTCTGAACAAATTTTATCCACTGAAATCTTAATCTAGATACAGTCTGGGAGTTATTAAAATTATTTAACAAAATGCGATATATCAAACACGGTAACTTGTTCTGTCGTGGTATGACTAAGTCAGACCAATATGATATAATTCTACATTTAGTTTCAATAGATAGTGGTTTAACACCAGTTTCACCGTAAACCATACAATTTGGTGTACTTGACTTTAAACCTAGAATATATTTTAAAAATTTAAGCTGTACTCTTTCAATACAATCAATATTACCAAAACCCCATATCTCACATCCGTACAGTAGGACAGGTTTTACAATTTTGTTAAATAAATCTATTTGCATGTCAATTGGCAATTCTGACATTTTACAATTTTTTATATGACTATACATAGCTTTGGACCCTTGTTTCACGACAGATTATTTTGCTTTGAAAAAGGAACCACTTCTACTGAAAAGAATACCAAGATACTTATACTCGTCTACAACTTCTAAAAGTTCATTTCCGTAAGTAAAATTATATGACATACGTCGTCCACTTGTAAAAACCAAAATTTTAGTTTTTGTTGTATTCAGCGTAAGTTTCCAGGTATCACAATAGTTTTTATAAATATTTAAACCATGTTGTAAGTCATCTTTTGTTTCAGCAAAAATTACAGCGTCATCTGCGTATTACAAAAAGAACAGTTTTACATAGTTAAAAGCACTATCCTCTAAATCGTGACTGTAACATGTTAAACCGGAAACATTATTGTTACTAAATATCCATATAATTAAATACAATGAAAAAATAAAGATGGCGCAACGGGCCTTATTTGTCGTAAGGGATTGCATTATAGAAAGTTATTGTCTGAAATTATTTTTGTCCAATAGAATTGCAGTATTTCAAGTGAATTAAACACATTTACCTAAGTAAATCGGGGGAATTTAATCATTATAGTAAATCAACAGTTTTTATAAAAAATAATTTTTAACACTATATTGGTTAGTGTTTATTAGTAAGAGTTAACTACATTAAAATGATCGATTGGCCAATATTATAATGTAAATACTTACTTATAAACACTAACCTTTACTTTTTGATTTCGTATGGATCCGTTGTCATTTTTTTTAAATTCAAAATTGGCGGAACTCGAAAGTTGTTAGTGATGTGAGATTCATATAAGCTGTAATTTTTTATATTTAAAATAAATATGGTAAGTTTCGTTATCTAAAACGCAGCGGTAAATATGCATAATTATATGTTTGAATTTCAAAAATAGATATTAATTTTTGACTTACATTTTTCGGAAATTATAAGTAGACTAAATGGTATAAATTAAACTTTATAGAAAGAACAAGTATAGTTGCAAAGGCAATGTTAAAACGTTTTGAAACAGTTTGATAATTCAACAATTGAAAGTTATTAAGTTTTCTGTAACACTTCTTGTGTGGTAAATTATAGAAAAAGCAAAAAGGAACAGCATGCACTTCATCCTTGACACAGCCCGATACTTGAAACGTACATTTTCACTCGAACTTTTGACCCGCGGGATTTTTGTTGAGTTGAGTTACCCATTTATGTATGTAATACACAGACATCAGATATATAGTAATGAACAATAATCTTTAATTGATACGTATATTGTAAAAAATATATATGTAATAAGTTACGGATCATAACTGATTGATTCTGATTTGTAGTTAGTACACCACCAGACACAAAATTACAATTAAAAAGCAGGGAAAACGTATTGTACAAAAGTCAGAGGGGTGTATGGACTTGATTTTGTAAATGCTGTTACTGGAAGACAATTAATATACATGTCCACGGTGATAGGTTTAGTTATTACTTTGACAAATGCATGCTGACATTTCTGTGTTTGGATCATTTTCTTCATGATCGTAAAATCTGTTACATGTCAAAAATAATAAGTTAAAGTGTCAAATTGACAAATTTCTAATTTATTCACTCGTGAATTGACAGGTCGGAGGTCTTTGAAGGGTTAAAGGTGGATGTAATTTAGATGTAATTGCTTGGCAACATGTTAATATTGTATGTATCATGTGTAAGTCATTTAATTAAACATTAAAAGTGTTTTAGACAATCGCAAAAGTATGATTAATAATTAATGAAAACATATACACAATTATTACATTACAACAATTTGGTGAAATTATCTATGATTGTAAAACAAAATAAACAGTTGTAATACATTTACACCATCTAACTTGGATGGACGCAGGTGTAGTGGGTGTTGAGGGCATTATTTGACAGTTTTAAGCAACAATTGCAAAATCTAACTATGTTCACACCGTAATTTATAAAACTAATAACTTTTCTATATCTTTGGGAAACAATGATGCAAATTTGACCATCGACTGTACTTTATACATGTAACACACTGTACCATTTGCTTTCTTTTTTATTCATTCTTTAGGATAAGAGCACTATTTAACGTATGTCTGGGGCAATTGTACATTTAGGAGAAACATATTGGTCTGTTCCAATAACATTTTGTTGTCTTGTTTTCTTTCAGGTGCAATTATACTATTAGACAAACTTATGACTTTTTACATTTCTCGCATTTGTATATTTCAATATGTTTAATATAAATGTAACCTTAGTAAAGGTATCCAAAGATATCTATAAATAATTGTTTTAGGTTCAGTTTAAAACCTCGCTTTATGATTTTGTTATAATGCATGTATAAAGCGTCTCATTCCATTAGAGATTTCATATTACTTAACTGACAAATTTTCTTTTCTTACTAAAGCTCCAAATTTTCATTTTAAAATTAAGATGACAGAGCGACCATTTCACTCTAGGCATACTAGAAAGCGTTCTGTAACGCTTTTTGTATATTTTTGTATAGAAAAGGAATAATGAACGGCATATGTTTCATCCTTGACATATCCCAAAACTTGAAGCATACATATTCATCGCGGATTTTTTGTTGTTACTTTACTACCCATTTGGTTACCCATTAATGTTCTCGATATGCAAGCATCAAAGATATATTTTTGGATTACAAGTTTATTGTAAAAGATATAATATGTTAAGGAACAGAATTGATTTCTTTGGATTTGTATTTAGTATTTCACCAGGCACACACAATTACAATTTTAAGTCTAGAATATAACAAATGCCATGAGTGAAATAACATAAATACATTTTTTTATTTGTAATTCAAGAAAACAAAAAATGATTAGAATTTAATATTACTTAGAAGTTGGAAAAAAAGCAAAAAAAAAAATGTTTGCCTCGTTACCACATAGCAAATATAAATTCTTAAAGCCAGTTAAGCAGTCATTATCTCTTTGAATTAATTACGAAAGCTTAATGTCGTTAATTTAATGGCGTTAGTTTAAAGGTATAAAAGAAGTAGATGTAAAGACTCTTGCCCGAATTCGCAAAGCTAAAGTTAATCAGGCAAACTTAAATTAATATGAAAAAATAAACATGAAAAGGTTATAATGTTTCGACAAAACAACATTTACAATGTGGATATAACGGGAGGGATAGGCCATGTAAATAATGCCTTGTCAACTTGGCATACACAAAACATTTATCCATTGTGCAACCGGTGTTCACCAAAAACCGTACGTATGGCCACAAGCACTTGTTGCTAACGAAGTTTGTGGTTTTTTAATCTGCGCAGTCGTACAGAATATTAATTTTATTATTTGACACTTGTAAACAGTTCTTTATTCAATTATGATAAAATGTTGGTGCGCATAACGTCTAAGGAATGAATTCCAAAAAGACATTCTTTAACTATTGTTTAAAGTAATAAATTAGCTTTTTAGTTGAAGGCTTAATTAGACGGCAAACATGGAAAAGTTATCATATCTATTACACAGCTTCCTTGATTTATTACTTTAAACAAATTAAGAGAAACAATTACGAAAAAACGCGAAAAACATACTTAGATCATTAGTCAACATCTTGCACTTGTAAATGTAATTATGTACGTATACATTCAGTTTGATTCGTTATTTTCCGTACACATTCGGTAAAATTCGTTACTTTTTTCCGTAATAAATAACACTTCCCTTGTCATACACGAATTACACGGATAAGGCCGAAATTCAACGAATGTTTAATGCGAAGATACGTGGGATTATCATTCCGCCTTAAACATAAATATAAAAAGAAGTTTGACTGTGTTATATAAATTACTTCCCTAAAATAGTATAATACTCTCTCTTGCAAAGTGGACAAGTGCCAAATTGAATAGCAAATGACATTAAACGTTTTCGTGGTAATTTTGGGATGAACAAAGCAGGCTTTTAAAACCCTCGCGGAAGAAAATTTTTAAAATAGAACGAACCAAATTAAATTACTTCTATATTGTAAAAACTGCAAATTTAATCTTTCCGTGAAAACATATTCACCACAGGCAGTACAAGCAAGATTTTCCTGTAGTCATTAGTAAGTAATAAAGATAAGATAAATACGTGGTTATATGCAACTTCTGATTTAAAACAAAAGACATTCATTGTTGTTGCAAACTCTAATTAACTTTAATGTAAAGTGTTACAATTACATGTGTATGGTTACATTTATATTGTTACAACTACACGTTTTTGTTACACCCACACGTATATTATTACACCCACACGAATATTGTTACATCAACACGTATACTGTAAATTCTACGCGTATACCGTTACACCTACACATATAATGTTACATCCACAAGTTTAATGTTACATCTACGCGTATACTGTTAGATCTACAAGTATATTGTTACATCTACACGTATATTGCTACATCTACGCGTATATTGTTACATCTACACGTATACCGTTACATCTACACGTACAATGTTGCATCTACACGTATATTGTTACATCTACACGTATACTGTTACATCTAAACGTATATTATTACATCTACACGTATATTGTTACATCTACATGTAGGTATATTGTTACATCTACGTGTATATTGTTACATCTACACGTATATTGTTAGATCCACACGTATATTGTTACATTTACACACGTATATTGTTACATTTACACGTATATTGTTACAGTCACGCGTATATTGTTACATTCGCACGTATATTGTTACATTCACATGTATATTGTTACATTCACACGTATATTGTTACATGTTTACACGTATATTGCTACAATCACACGTATATTGTTACAGTCACACGTATATTGTTACATTTACACGTATATTGTTACATTCACACGTATATTGTTACATTCACACGTATATTGTTACATTTACACGTATATTGTTACATTTACACGTATATTGTTACATTCACACGTATATTGTTACACGTATATTGCTACAATCACACGTATATTGTTACAGTCACACGTATATTGTTACATTTACACGTATATTGTTACATTTACACGTATATTGTTACATTCGCACGTATATTGTTACATTTACACGTATATTGTTACATTTACACGTATATTGTTACATTCACACGTATATTGTTACATTCGCACGTATATTGTTACATTTACACGTATATTGTTACATTCACACGTATATTGTTACATAAACAGGCATATTGCTTCATCCACATGTAAACTGTTACATCTACACGAATCTGTAATCACTCTTAGAACAGTACGACACCGTAAAAATAAAGTTCACCGCAGCACATGAACGCGAGCTTTATTCTCATTTTACCTTTTTCTACTTACAGATAAAATATCATCACGATGCATCCCTTGCTACCATTGATTTGTGTAACAGCCACGCTGTTTAAAACGTCCATGTCTCAAAGTGAGTATAGCATACATTAAACATTAGTAGATATTCCTTTTAAAATGTAGTAATTACTTTAAAAACATATTAAAAATATGGCTTTAGAACATAGGTTATATACATAATGAGTTAATAACTTAAGAACGCAGTCCTCAGCTTCATGAGTCAATATCTTATAAGTTAACAATATATTAGTTAAGAATAAAATAGTTATTTCACGTCAAATTTTTTTTCTTGTTAGTTTCGGACTTTTTTGTTATCTACATAACTATTTATTGCATTATTTCTATATATAACTATTTATTGCATTATTTGAAGGCATAAGCTGCTCTAACCCGGCAGATGTCATGTTTCTTATTGATGGCTCGGACAGTATAAACCAACAAGAGTGGAACCAGGAGAGGAACTTTGTTGCTAGGATGATACAGGCGCTTGACATCAGTCCTAGCACTATAAATGTCGGGTTTACTGTCTACAGTTCTAGTATCGATCGCCATCTTGGATTAACTCCCTTTAGACCAAAAATAGTTCTAAACGCAATGGCTAAAATGTTGGACCATCCAACAGGAATCGCCACCAATACCGCAGCAGGTATAAAGCGCGTACACGATGAATTCCGTAACCAGCCGGCCTCGCGCAGTAGCGCGCCAAAAATAATGATTGTCATTACAGACGGATCGTCGGAAAATCCAGCAGAAACAATCCGACAGGCGCAAATGGCAAAAGCCGACGGAATACGAATCATTGCTGTCGGCGTTGGCAATAATGTTTTCCTAGAAGAATTACAAGAAATAGCAACAAATCAACAGAAGCTTTACAGAGCCCCAGATTTCGCAGCTCTAAGAGGAATAGAATCTGAGATTAGGAACATGATCTGCAGAGGTATTTGACTTTGTTCCATTTATTTGTTTAAAAATTTGGCTGAGTGGTTGCCTTTAAGGGTTTAGACACCAGAATTGCAGCAATCGTTCATCCCTGCGTGATCGTAGAAGGCGAATAAATAGGCTCCAATTATCGTAGTCTATGTCTCTTTGCTCCAGCAGGTAAGGTGGTTTTGACCTCTGGTGTTGCTACAAGTTTGTAACTACTGAGGTAAGTCAAAATCATCTTTCCTGTTTTGGCGCCATATGACCTAAATTTGTATTCGTGTGTCGTTAAACCAAATAAACAAACAAACAAAACCATTTATTAGAAGAAAAGAACACTATTTCTAGGAATAATCACAATGTAAAAATACAATGGTTTATATAGATTAAAGTAAGATATTACTCATATAGTGGGGAAAACTTATTTTTGTTTTATCTGTAGTTTAGACTTAAATTTTCCTCTTTGGTATTCTTTTTAACATCATATGCTTTAAATATTCTCAAATGAAATATCAAAAAGTGGATCTTTAACGTTAATTATTATTATTATTATTATTATTATTATTATTATTATTATTATTATGTTATTATTATTATTATTATTATTATTATTATTATTATTATTATTATTATTATTATTATTATTATTATAATGATGATAAAATGATGGTTATAATTATTATTATGAAACATACTATGATGATGATGATGATGATGATGATGATAATTATTATTATTATTATTATTATTATTATTATCATTATATTATTATTATTATTATTATTATTATTATTATTATTATTATTATTATTATATTATTATTATTGATGATGATGATGATGATAAAAATGATGACAAAAATGATGGTTTTTATTATTATGATGATAATATGATGATGATGATGATTATAACTATTATTTTATTATAATTATTATTATTATTATCATTATTATTATTATTATTATTATTATTATTATTATTATTATTATTATTATTGTTATAATTATTATTATTATTATTATAATTATTATTCTCATTATTATTATTATAATTATTATTATTATTTATTTATTTATTTATTTTTTCTGTATTATCACATAATTATGTACTTATTTTTCGTCAAATGCTGTATGAACTTTTTGATGTGATTTTCTTCAGTAATTACAACAACAATGTCACCGAGGTTTACATTAATTCCACCAACACCACCACCAGAGTTTATCCCAGTTAGCGGAGGTAAGTAATTAATTAACCAAATAATTATGTTGCTTAATAATTATAATTTCTAAGATCCCTAAAAACGTTTTTTGCATGGAAATTGAATTCTTAACCATTTAGAAATGAATAATCAGATTGGTTGTTTAAGCATAGTATTATTACTCAAAAGTTAGATTGTAAAAAAAAACGAAGCTTATTTGATCCTCATTCGTTTGAGTGCTATGATGTTTGGAGTCGTGAAATTATTCACTATGTTGTATCCAAACATATGTTAGGTAGAAATCTACCAAATAATGTGAAATCTATGGTGGCTGATTTGTGCCATCTCGTTTTATTGATCTGCGGGGCGCCAGACGAAAACACGAAAATACGACAAAGTGACAGTTTTTTTCGTTCTTTCGCTTCGCCGAAAAAAACGACAAAGTAACCGTTTTGTTTTCCCCTTGCGCCCCACGGAGCGAAAAAAATACGGTATGGCATAAATCAACCACCATCTGTTCATTAAAATAAAATGATGACCTTGATCTAAGCACGTGTTTGTTTATAAAAAAGATTCTGTGCATTTATTGGTACACTATTTCAGACCGTCTATGTAATAACCCAGCCGACATAGTTTTCGTCGTCGACGGCTCAGACAGTATTAATGACTTAGATTTCGTGAGATTGAAGACTTTTGTAGCCAACTTAATTGACAACTTTGAGATTGGTGCAGATGCAATTCATGTTGGTATTATTGTTTACAGTACTTTGATAGGAGAAAAAGTCGGGTAAGTTGTTTTTATAAATGTGCGATCTTTTCTTTTTGTTCGGGTTTGTATGCCCCTTTTGTCTTAAAATAACGTTTCCTTATGATAATTTCTGTAGGATTTATGTCACATCGACATTAAACAAGTCATATGGAGACTTTATAGCTGTACTAGTACAGAAATACCCCAGGTTTCCCTCTGTGCATTACTATAAGCATGAGCTATCGACAAACCTTCCGTAACATAGCTGGAAAGGTCTCGCGGAGATGGTAACTGGCAAATCCGTGCTAGTTTAAAGACCGTTTAACGTTTTCATTTAAATGCTTTAATAATTAAAATTATAACAAGTATCTCAACAAAACGATCGAACTGGAAAATATTATGATTTAAAACAATATACAGGTAACAAAATCTGCTAATGATTATGACCATGGAGGCTTTATAAGCTCATAGTAGTATTTTGTTTTACTTTAAAGTAATGTAGAAATATTTAAAACTGAAAAACAACGTAACGCAAAATGATTGAGTTGAAAACAAACGTAGAAAGTTAATCTTACATTTGTATCCATTCAGACTTTTCCCGCCAAAGAATAAATTTATCTTGAAAGCTCTAGCCAATAACTTGGAGCATCCGAAATTCGGTACTGATACAGCGGCTGGTATCCAAGCAGCTCGTGAAATGATCAGTCAACAAGGTCGTGCAGACGCTCCGGAAATGATCGTTGTCATCACAGACGGTCGTTCAACAAATCCAAGAAACACAATAGTTCAAGTATGTAAAAGAAAATACCAAAAAAACAAGAAACAAGTTTTCAAAAGTCCTTCCAATGTCAATCTCATCATAAATAATTAATGAATTACAATACAAAATAATTGTTGGTATATAAATATTGTACTGTTATTAGATATTGTATTGTAGGATTTTTCTTCTAAGGTTATTTCTTCCCGAACTTACAAGCACCGTTATAGGCAAAAATAAAACCTTTGTTCAAAGAGGCTCCTTTACCCAAATACAAAACAAATAAATAAAATGTTATTACATGATTTCACGTTTGCAGCGAATGCGTCAAGTGGTAACCTTACATTTGCTACATTGTAAGACCTTTGGGAACTAATATCACGATTGAAAATATGAAAAAAAGACTACATGTAAAACTATTCTACAGGAAAGTTAATCATTTCGTTGTTGTTGTTTCCAGGCAAGTATAGCTAAGGCCCAGGGTATCACTATGATAGCTATTGGTGTGGGTCAGGATATTTTCTCCGAGGAGCTGAACGAGATAGCTAGTAGTCCAAAATATGTCTCCAAAGTCGCCGATTTCCGAGCTTTGTCAAACACCGTCAACGTAATGAGAGACTTAATCTGTACTTGTAAGTTTTTATATATTCGTAAAGTTTCGGCAGTTTTCGCCACTTATCGTACCATTTTAAAAAATTCGACTAATGGCATATAACAGTATATTCGTAAAAGTTCGGCAATTTTCGCCACTTATCGTACCATTTCTAAAAATTTGACTAAGGGCATATAACAGTATATTCGTAAAAGTTCGGCAATTTTCGCCACTTATCGTACCATTTCTAAAAATTCGACTAAGGGCATATAACAGTATATTCGTAAAAGTTCGGCAATTTTCGCCACTCATCGTACCATTTTTAAAAATTCGACTAAGGGCATATAACAGTAATTTCGTAAAAGTTTGGCAATTTTCGCCACTTATCGTACCATTTCTAAAAATTCGACTATGGCATATAACAGTATATTCGTAAAAGTTCGAGCAATTTTCGCCACTTATCGTACCATTTTTAAAAATTCGACTAAGGGCATATAACAGTATATTCGTAAAAGTTCGGCAATTTTCGCCACTTATCGTACCATTTCTAAAAATTCGACTAAGGGCATGTAACAGTATATTCGTAAAAGTTCGGCAATTTTCGCCACTTATCGTACCATTTCTAAAAATTCGACTATAGGCATGTAACAGTATATTCGTAAAAGTTCGGCAATTTTCGCCACTCATCGTACCATTTCTAAAAATTCGACTATAGGCATATAACAGTATATTCGTTAAAGTTCGGCAATTTTCGCCACTTATCGTACCATTTCTAAAAATTCGACTAAGGGCATATAACAGTATATTCGTAAAAGTTCGGCAATTTTTGCCACTCATCGTACCATTTTTAAAAATTCGACTAAGGGCATATAACAGTATATTCGTAAAAGTTCGGCAATTTTCGCCACTTATTGTACCATTTTTAAAAATTCGACTAAGGGCATAAACAGTATATTCGTAAAAGTTCGGCAATTTTCGTCACTTATCGTACCATTTCTAAAAATTCGACAAAAAGCTATATTAAAAAGAGCTCACAGTTTTCATAAAATACGGAATAGTTACGAAATTTGCCGATGGGATACCGTAATAATTAAGGCCGTAGTACAAGACACAATACTTATTTCATAGCTCAGTAACAATACGCTGTAAATTGAGTAGTTCGAAAAACAAATCGTGAAAAGTTGCAAATAAATCTTGCAACATTTATAATCTAAATAACAAAACAGTGTCTCACCCTCGGGAAATACTGCATGATACTTAATTTAGTTTGAGTAACAGAAGATTGACGTCTCAGTCGTTAGGTGATAACAAACGTAACAAGTGAAAATTATCTATTTTATTTTTTTCATTTCAGCAATTACAACACAGGCAGTGAGCACAACAACAATGATGCCGCCTACACCCCCGCCTTATATCCCACCCCCTGCAGACGGTAATAAAATATACTTCACATAATTGATAAGTTGAAATAATCGAAAATCCGAATATAGTGATAGACGACAACTACTCAACTTTGATCTAATTCGGCTAATACCGGGTATTCGAATAAAACGGTTGTCGAATAACCAGGGTATTGACTGTACATCGTATTTGAAATGAGGTATGCAATGGTAGAAAATCAATCTAAGCGGAATCACCTTAACTGTGTCAGTACTGGCCATGTACATGTATGATGCACCTTATTGTTTAATTACATCTCTTCTTATCTGTTTGTATCATCAAATACATTAAAGGAATATTTTCTTTATTTCAGGACTTATTTGTAACGTACCTGGTGATGTCACATTTATTCTTGATGGTTCAGACAGTATTGCCCCCAATGATTGGATAAGACAAAGGAATTTCGTGAATAATCTAATCAACAATTTAGAGGTTAAAACTCGAAACATGAAATATAATACTCTTAAGTGCATTACATGAAAGACATTTGAGCCGCGCCATGACAAAACCAACAATGGGTTTGCGACCAGCATGGATCCAGACCAGCCTGCGCATCCGCGCAGTCTGATCAGGATCCATGCTGTTCGCTATCGGTTTCTCTACTTGTAATAGAGTTGGTAAGCGAACAGCATGGATCCTGATCAGACTGCGCGGATGCGCAGGCTGGTCTGGATCCATGCTGGTCGCAAACCCATTATGTTGGTTTTGTCATGACACGGCTCATTTCATTGTTACCAATACATCTTATTTACTATTTAACCAAACAGTACCATAAACTAATGATTTTTATAGGAAAAGCTATTTAGAAATTATAACGTTGTATTTTGTAACGTCCATTCTCATTGGACAACCGTTAAGTTTAAATTATCAACAGTGATGTAATTTATTTGACAGGTTAAATGATCGTTTGTTGAGGTTTCTGCTATACATTGTTAACTCTTACCTAGCGTCTACAGTTACAAAAAAGGAACAGTCGTTTAAACTGGGCCATAGATCCTTTAAAGAACACACACAAAACACTTTATTGTTATCAATTATATATCGTGGTCAAATATCTATTCTTTTTAAAAAGCGGTGACATATCTTTTCTCATTATTCAGGTAGGACAACCTTACATCCACGTGGCTGTAGTTGTGTATAGTTCTACAATAGGAGAGGTGATTCCCCTCATACCGTATAAATCCAAACCGGTTCTCAACATGCTCGTAGCAAACCTCACGCAGCCGAGATTCGGTACAGACACCGCCCTGGGTATCCAGAAAGGGAGAGAAATCTTGAAGATGCAAGGCCGACGAACAAACACCCCAAAAGTTATAATTGTCGTTACTGACGGAAAATCTACATTCCCGGATAACACGATGATACAGGCCAATATGGCAAAAGCTGATGGTATGCTCATTCATTATGCTTATTTATATCATCCAATCGTTCCTTAAGTTGTAACACGTCACCGTCAAATATATTTCCAATATTGCGGACTAAAGTACCCAATATATAAAAGTCTTATACTGAATTGCTGCTTTAAATGTAACACGTAACACGACATCTTCCCAACACATTTTTTATATTGGATTCTAAAGTATTACATCCAATATAAATATCCTATATTAAACATTTGAGTGTGTTTAGCATTTTACATATAACGTATGAGAGCTATAAACGACAATAGATTCTGGATGTTAAGGAACACCATTGATTGACGTTTCTTTTCAGAATCACTGTAGCCTAAATACAAAACAAATAGGTAATTTGGCAATGTTTTGTACCAAACGGAATAAGTTGTGACCCGTTAACAGCTTCATAAAATCATATTGAACTTGGCATCCGGCTCGTCCAATATGGTGTTTCCGCCTGTTTACTCAAAATATATATTCCATATTGTACAGTTTAGTGGTAAAACACCCATATAAAAGATTATTTTTTATGTTTTCTTTGAATCTGCAAGTTTATCATTGTTACGTTACTAGAATACAGTTATATTTGTGATAATCGATGCTGTTTATTATTCTTATTATTGTTTTATATTTTGTTTGATCATTTCAATGGATTGTATATATCATATTGTATCATCTTTTATTTTAGGTTATACAGTTATATCTGTGGGTATCGGGGCTGACATCTACTCTGATGAACTGGTAGATATTGCCAGTTCTCCAAGCCAATTCTTTAAAGTCATAGATTTCGCTTCCTTGTCCAACATTATTGCTGAATTAAGAGACAGAATTTGCCAAGGTAAGTTATGAAGATTGTTATTTTCTATGATACTCTAAAAACTGTGTCACGACAAAACCAACATAGTGCGTTTGTGACCAGCATGGATCCAGACCAGCCTTCGCATCCGCGCAGTCTGATCAGGATCCATGCTGTTCGCTTACAAACTCTATAACAAGTGGAGAAACTGACAGCGGGATGCGCAGGTTGGTCTGGATCCATGCTGGTCGCAAACCCACTATGTTGTTTTTGTCGTGACGCGGCTCATATATTGTGATGTGAAATGATACATGCTTGTTAATTTTCTAAACAAAATATGTTTCAACTAAATGCATTCAATAAAACTCTACTAACATTTCAATGCATCTTTCTTAAAAATTGATATATTTAAATTGTGATTTATTCATATGGTTATTTGAATTATATGAATTGTACTCTTAGTTGTCCAGACCACGACAGAGGCCCCGCCAACAACACCTCAACCAACTACAACAACAACACAGATGACAACACCGTTCCCTGTTCGTCTGGAGCCATGTACGTTTGTTTGTTTTGTTGTTTTTCTTTTCAATTTGTGGAATATGACATATGACATGATATAAGGAAAGGGAAAAATTGAGTTTTTCAGAAAGCAAGAAAATATGAAATATACCTTCAATAAAAAAGTATAAAAAAAACAGTCCAAGGAGATGTTCAAAAGATAGCTGATTTCTGACAACATTTTCATACGATGCCACCGAATGTAGGGTAATACCTTTGCCAAACATGTGTTATGATCAAAGCTCCGTCTTCATTACCAATCGCGAAAGCATCAACGAGGGGCACATCTTTAAATCCAAAATTGTGTGAGTACGTAGTAAAACCAAACAAAAATAAATTTAAAAAAGACATGATTAAATGAATGCAGACGATAAATGTATTTGTTTGTAGGTATTGAGAGTCGAACCGAAGCAGATATCGTTTTCCTGCTTGATGGACAAAAGAATATCAGCCCATACAGCTGGATGATGGGAACTCACTTTGTCTCCAACTTTCTCGATGGAATTGAGATAAGACCAGATTTCGTGCACGTGGGTGTAGTCATTTCAGATCGCTTGAGAGGCGACGAGATTGGAATTTCTCCATTTAAATCAAGGTAATGTTGCACAAAAATGCTGTAAATTAACATGATACATTAATAATTTTTCTGATAATTCTTAATGAAACAATGAAAATATGTAAATATAATAGTCAGCTACTATCATATGATTTAAGAAATGTCCAAAAATTTTTTTTTAGTGTGATATCAGTTGCACGAACCATAACTCTCCTCTGTTTTTCAGAATGCACATGAAAGAACTGATTCATGGTCTGATGCGTCCAAGTGGAGATATGAACACGGCAGCGGGACTCCGGGCAGTTCAAGATATATTTAGAAACCAAGGCCGTAGGAACGCCGAAAAAGTTGTGGTGTTCGTAACTGACGGAAGTTCCCGATCTATGGCGGAAACAAACATGGTAAATGAATAGGATAAAAGTTTTCAAATAATAATCAATGCATAAAAAGTATTCCTATCGATTAAACCCTGGTACTTTCCATTAGAGATTAATGATTATATAGCCCGAACAATGATAGGTGGAAATTATAAGTGACAAAAAATCTAAATATTCTAAATTTAGCATTAATTCCATTGGTTTAAGTTGCTACATAATGTTCATTAATCTCATCTATGTATGTTTTTTCTCAAAAACCACTGAACATGTCTGTTGATAATTCTTTTCAGGAGGCTAGCCGCTTGAAAAGCCTGGGAGTGGATGTTGTTTCGGTGGGTGTTGGAGACAAGGTCAATCTTGCTGAACTTACCCAAATGGCAACAAATCCTGCGTTAACTCTAAGAACCCGGAACTTCGATCAATTCTTTGGACTGTTGCCAAGGTTGCAAAATGTCGTCTGCGAACGTAAGTACTATCTTAAATCTGAAGATATTTTTTTTACATTTTTGTTGTTAACACTAAAAATATATAAATAAATAATGTTATGTATAATTGGTTCTTTTGATTAAAATTTAAAGAAAATGAATTCAAAAATTTACATAAGTTCTGCACATAACTGCAAAAGCACTCTTGGTTACAAACAACTAAATCGTCTGGTAGCGGTTACGTCACGCTTTGCTACTTTAACTGTACTGATCAGGGTAAGTAACCGCTGCGGGGAGTTTGCCTATAACATTTACCACGTAACAAATTTTTTACCGTTACCTATGTAACAATACACATTTCTAAGTCACATGGTACAGATCGCATTAACAGTAAGAATATTATTGTTATTGAATATTGTTTTAGCTTAGCTTATTGAAAATCAACATTACAAAATGGTGATAGGTAATAAACTATATAAATACACTGTATATCAATTCTGTTTCTTTCTAAGATAATGGTATAAATAAAGTACAAAATAAGAAGATGGTTTTATTCTGTTATATATAAACTTGTAATGTCAATTTTCAGTGTTAAGGAAACCAGAAACAACAACGATACAGACAACAACACCTAGTCCAGGTATAGACATAATTATTCTAATCATTATCAAAACACTTTAAAATAATTCAATATTGTTCCTTAAAATAACAGATATAAATCCAATATAATATGTAGTGGATATTGAATTAGTGCATGTTCAATACTGAATTTATTGAACGTGTTGAATCGAATTATATTATGTGAGCCCTGTGCGAGCAAGATATTACTTTATTCAATAAATTCAGTAATTAACCTGTACGAATATAGTATTCAATTTATTACATACCCAAAATAAAAACTGTTTAAAGTGCAGAAGAATCATTTTTTCATTGACTAGTCTTTAGTGTAACGCTTACATTTGGCGCGTCTTTACACTATGTTTGTATAACGCCAATGACGTCACATCAAAATATATACACGGTCGTGCAATACCATTTTTACGAAGTCGCAAAATCGGCTCGTGAATGTGATACATTATATCACAGTATTTATAATGATATGAAATATAAAATAACAACATTGACGAATTAGTAAAAATTCTACTTACCCAAGTTTTCTTAATTCTGAAAGTATTTTTTATGAATACGTGGAATATTGTATAACCAAAGGGGTGATTAGAAACCTTTATATTTATAACTATTTCTTAAATTTCATTATCTGAAATAAAATTATGCGAAATAGTTGTAGATGCGTTTCATTTATTTCCATCACGGCATTCTCTTTCTTTTCCTAAGGTTTATGCGACGGCTGCCTTATTGACCAGGGTGTTGGATTCAACCCATATCCCGGAGATTGCACAAAGTTTGTTCAGTGCTGGAAACAAGGTGACACTATCATGTCGCTCGTGCGCTCGTGCCCGTTCGGTCAGTTCTGGGACGCTGATGCCATCACGTGCAGACCATCGTTCCTTGTAATGTGCACTGCAGGTTAGTTAATTTGTTAATTTCTACTAACATATAAATGTTTATTTGAAGTATTTATAATAGATACATGTAGATTTTTGAACTGACAGTAATTATACCGGTATTTTATAAGATCAGATACAAAATTTAATGTACATGTACATTAAAACTACCTTTAAAATGATCAAGCAATCTAGTAATTTTTTGATAATAAACACATGTACCTTAATTTATTTACCTGTTTTGACATTACGTTCGCAGAATCGAACTTGAGATAAAATAACAGACAAAACGGATATATGTTCATTTGAAATGATATAATATATACATTCTATGAATTTTTTCTTCTTGTCTTTTTGTAACTTTTTTTGCCTTCACTAATCTACAAGAACTTCCCAATTAATGATTTTCTCGATTTACAAAATATTTTCCTTTAGACAGATTGAAAAGCTAAAACGTTAAATCATTGCAAACAATGGCTATAGCTGGCAACCCTGGTTCAATACCGGACGGTGCATGTCTCTTTCGTGGTGATTGCACTGTGCCCCTGCTCTTGCATGTACAGAAGTTTCAATTCCTTGCAAAAATGAAGCCAACTAGTACCATCAAACTGCTTGACAACCTATCCAGAAACGATGCAGTGCTCTGGTAAATTCAATGTGGCTTATTATTGCCGGGATCCGGAGGTTAAACTACCAACGCCACCACCACATTATTATTAACTAAAATATTATTACTTCTCAGGTTATTCAGAGTAAAGCTATTGTTTTATACAGTCATGTAACTCATCCTTGAAAAGAAGACAATTTCCATATATCGCAACGTGAACCATAAGTGGAACGAACTTGATATTTTTAAGCTAAAAATACTAATTTATTTTATATAGATCCATGTAGGCAATCTACGCCTGGTTTTACCTATGGTATGAAGGAATATGGATGTCGGGCATACTGGAAATGTATTGATGGATTCAGCGTTGGACATTGTTGTCCCAGGGGCAGTGCCTATGTTGAGGGGATGGGCTGTCTGGAGAGTAGGACGTGCAAAGAAGAGTGTCCGCCTAGTGGAGGAATCGCTGTCAAACGTAGGGAATAATTACTCTATCCATAATTATCAAAATGTTTTTTTTATATAATGAATGGTGATGGTGCCTTTGGCCTCAGGCTGATATAAAAGTCTAAAGCCCAATAACAAGGCCATTATGAAAACACTTAATTATTAACAATATACAATTCGAAATGTGATTAATTAATTTTGATGTAAAAGTTAAATTGAAAAAAATGACCAGATAAAAGAAAATATCGACATCTTATATGTTATTATAAAAGTATGTAAAGATGAATGTAACATTCGCTGTCCTTTTTTACAGAATAGTATATAAGTGTTTCCTGGATTGTGAGAAAGCTCGTCATATGCTCACTATATCATTTTCCTAGACACGTCTTGTATTTTCTCATTTTAATTTGCAGCAATGTGTGACAAGAAACCTCACTGGGACAAACGTTACTACATTGAGATCGTATACGGACGCGGAGAAATAGTCCGTCCCTGTCCGGCTGGAACTATTTTCTTTGAAGACAAATGCGCGTGTGATTTCGGCTTGTCCGGTCTCCTTCCTACCACACCTGATGGTAGGTGAAAAATGTTAATTTGAGCCGCGTCACGACAAAACCAACTTAATGCGTTTGCGACCAGCATTGATGCAGATCAGCCTGCGCACCGGCGCAGTCTGATCAGTATCCATGCTGTTCGCTTACCAACTCTTTTACATGTAGAGAACCTGATAGCGAACAGCATGGATCCTGATCAGACTGCGCGGATGCGCAGGCTGGTCTGGATCCATGCTGGTCGCAAACCCATTATGTTGGTTTTGTCGTGACGCGGCTCATTTGTAATTAATGAAAGTCGTTTATATTTAACTGTTGAGTATATTATAACTTTATATGACGTTTTTTATGAAAAGAAACAATCAATCTCGCATGTTTACATGCAAAAAGGCCTGTGTTACAGTTCAGTAAATTGTCATTAGGATTTCGTTTTATTAATAATCGTCGCGTTTAAAAGAAAATGAAGAAAATAAAATTTTCACTTTACGGTTCATACACATTTTAGTTATTGAGGGTACAAAAATCTTTTGATTTCTTATGTCTAACTATTTTAAAATTTGAATTTTACAGTTTTATGTCAGCCATCAGCCTTCTTCCCGTTCGATCAAAATCTACATGACCAATCATTGCACCGTATTAATGTCGGCTTAACCAACATGCAGCTAACAGATCTCGGTACAGCCTACTTTAATGGACATAGTGAAATGAACCTATGGCGTTTTGCCGGAACTGACTGGGGTAACAAGCTTGTGATAAAGTTTAAGTTCAGGTTTGATTATAGTAACAAATTTATCGACTACGGTGGCTTGCCTGTAGATCTAGGAATAGATTTCGATGTTAACATGAACCTGATCAGTGACTATCACATGACTGATATGGATTGGAGACTATGGAACCAACTCAGGAAAGTAAGAACGCTCGACGACTGGCGACAGCTTCTACGAGAATTTGGACAATCGCGAACATTCTACATTTTCCTCGGAACTCTTGGCTTCAAACCCGGAACTTCCAATTCGTTGCAGGTAGTGAGAATTCTGGGTACACCGGAAGCGTATGCCGCGTTCCAGGCGGTGCTAAACCGAATGACACCGGATATGTTAAACGGCGTTAATCTGAACGAAAAGTCGTCTGCTGGTTTGAAGGGAATTTTACAACAGCTGAGGGGAATGAGGGGACTTATCAACTGGGATTTTATTATCGCGCAACTTAAAGGTGAAGGTCATACAAGCGGAAGCGGCAGTTCAACCGGCAGTGGAACAACTGTTGTTGATACAATAAACGTTAATGGTGAAAATGTGGTAAGTTTTTATCAGGAAGGGGGGAAAAGGAAAGAAATCCATATCATAGTTCTGATAATAATTAAAATATTATTTTGTTCTAGACAAATCTAAAAATACATGTCCATAAAAGTCAGTATATTTTTGTTGAAACTTTTACTATTAACATAATGTCCAATAAGCAGTTATGATTTTTTATTAGTAGTATTATAAGATTCTTACATATCATAATAATTATGTAGTTTATCATCACGTTATGTATACATAAGTCAATTTTTCGTTTGCAGCCAAAACCCGGAACAGGGGAATGGAGATGGGACGGTATTTCCGGTCAATGGGTCAAGGTCACAGGAGGCTCTTCCGGTAGGGACATAGGAACAGGTACAATGACCGGCACGAATGAAAATGTACTAAATATTGGCGGAACGGACGCGGCGTCTGAATGGAGGTGGAATAAGGTCACTGGTAGGTTACATTTTGTAGCATTGAATTCATCATTATATAATAAAAGTTAGTATGTGATGTAATAGAACTTGCCATGAGGTCAACATTTAATTTTTAGAGAACAGCAATGAAGATCTTTAAAGTATCATTAATGAACAAGTAAAAACAATACTTTATATCAACATTGAGTCGGTTGGTTGATGCTTAAATTTTATACTTGAAGATATTATGCTATACATCTTTTCTTAAATGAAAAAGAAAACAAACAGAAAAATAAAACAAGTAACTTTTGAGTACATGTACAAACAGAGGAGATATGTTACGTTTCAAAGACTACACATTATATGGGTAAACACTGTATAAACAGACTGGCGTTTTTTTAAGTAAGAACCAAAATAACTTGACCAGTTATAGGGAATGCTGCTTGTCATAACATAAATTGTGCATTTTCTTAAATTATAACCATATACTGTGTGAGTAAAGTAGGAATTTCCTATATTTGAGCAAATTTCTGCAATGAAAAGATTTCACATAAATTTTATAGGCCAGTGGGAGAGACTTGTTGCGGCTCACACCCCTGGAGGCAGTACGTCGTCTGCTGACGTTCAGATCGTGAACGAGATGTCGGGAGGAAGCAGTGAGTTTAATATTTACTTGTTAATTAAGCTAATCTATCCGAGTAACTAGTTTATATATACATGGGGGTCACACAAAGTCTTTAGTCAGAAATCAAGCCGCCAACGTGTATCATAAATGTAAAACAAGCATATTTTTTTTAAAAAATCAGTTGAGTTGTTTTAATAAATTATAATCCAAATAAGGTTTTGTTCATAAAAATAAACGGCTTTAAGGCCCTGTATTGGTGTAAAAAAAAAATTTACAAACTTTACATCTTAGATTAGTCTAGAAAGGAGCTCAACCATTGGTCATTTGTAAACATGTGATTTATATCAGCCAATCATGTTCTAGCATATCATGCTGTAACTTTCCAAAATATTTAAACAATTTAACAATTTTTGGTTCTATCAAAGAGTCCCAAAGGTTTTTAATTCTCACGTTTCACCGTTTGTTTTCGTCTGGTTCCAGGCGGGGGATCGATCGGCTCGTGGCAATGGGAAGCTGCTGGTTCCAAGGTGCCTATTACGGGCTCTGGTGCGTCTTTCAATATGTCACAGGCAGTAACAGGTATGGGAGGGATGACATGGAATGATATTGTGCGAGAGTTGGCGAGAATACAGGTAATATATTAATACGATTATTGACTATCATGGGTTCGAATCCCGGGCTGGCCAACTAAAATTACTAATCAATCTTTCGGATGAGGCTTTAAATCGAGGTCCCGTGTATGAGTGCTTTAACACTTGGCACGTTAAAGAACCAGGAGAAGCTTCTGTAATTGGGGTATCTTTCTGATATTGCACTTTCCTTCAAAATCTAAAATGACTAATACTCTTCTGGGGGACCCGCCCATATGGGATATAAATAAACTCAAATAAACACACTTTTCACGACTGGTAATATTTGACGCACCTGAGATAATGTCAATGAAAAGCTGAAGTTACAAATATAATATGATTTGGAATAAAACCAAGGCAACAACGTACCATAAGTTCCGAAAACAAATGATTCATACATTAAAAACAGTGAAACTATATATATATACATATGTGTACATATATTATATAAGAGTCGTATAAAATGACACATAAGGGTTTGCCTGTTTTAACATCATCGTCGGATACCCACGGTTGCTTAACATGTAATAAATAATAAATTTTAGTGCTGACGATGATTTTAACATCTGCCTTTATTGTAAAATACAGTGTATACTTTCAAGATCTTCATTCAACTTACTACTAGCTCTGTATAACATTTACAGTATTAGAAAATGGCAACATTTTTGATAAGATGAAGCACAAAAACATACGTTTTCTGGTCTTTTGTTATTTATTTTCATCTGTACTCCTTAGAATTAATCATTTTGTCATTTTTTTAGATCAAACTATGGCTATTAACATTTTATTTGTAGTAATATAAGCTATTTAAGTTGTCATGCTTTTTAAAATTAAATTGTACCAACAACAGTTCGTTGCGATAAATGATTAGGACAACAACATAAAAAGATGAAGTAATGATAATGATATAAACAATTAAAACAGTTTTGTTAGAAAAGACATCTTCTTAAGTTTTGAAATTACATTTAATTATTCTGGAAATCGAACTGTCAATCAACTTAGAATATATATTAATCTTTCTTATTACGATTAAAATTCATAGTTAAATTCATTGCAATATTTTGTTATAAGAATACAACTTCCGGTACATGGCAATGGAGTACAGTCGGTGGATCTAAGAGCGGCTCCATAGAAGCTAACAGGCAAGCAATTGAATCTCTTCTGAATCAACTGAAGCTTAGCGGTGGACAAACCGGAAATGCGTCATGGAAATGGAATGTTTCCGGCGGAAGCGCAGGAAGTGGTAATCAGGGAGCGTTTCAAAATGCTAACATGAAGGCAATAGAAGCTTTACTTGCCCAAATACAACAAGGATCAAAACAAGCACAAGGTGGAAGTTCTTCTTGGCAGTGGGGTACTTCCGGTGGAAGTGCAAGTGGTGGCATTAATGAAGGATCTCAGGCTGCAAACATAAAAGCTATAGAATCTCTACTGGCGCAATTGAAAATGACAGGGGGATTGGGTGGCAGTTCATCCGGAAAATGGAGCGCTTCCGGTGGAAGTGTCAGTGGTAAAATCTCTACTGGACAACAGGCAGAAAACTTGAAAGCTATAGAAGCTATGCTTGCACAATTGAAAATGGCAAGTGGACAGGGAGGAAGTTCTTCTTGGCAATGGACATCCACCGGTATGAAAATCATTGACATAGTAAAATTATTGACTTAACATACTAATATTATATGCAGTCAGTTTCACGATTAACAAAGTATTTTGTCCTATCCGTTTTGCCTTATACTTATCACAATTAATCACTGCTTAAAAATATATGTTTAGTTATTATATTGTTATTGTTTAGAAACTAAGCCACAATTAGCTGTCCAAAAAATGAAAGGTTATTCAAAATAGTATACGGTATGCTTAATCCTGGAAATTAAACGGAAACGTCATTCGGTTATAATTATTTCTTTAAACTAGGTGGAACAGCAGCAGGTCAAGAGCTTGATATGGCTAAACTTAACGCCATTTTGAAACAGATGCAGGAAATGGGTAAATCATCAGATCGAGGCTCTATTAACACTTCCGGTACTTTTGTTACTTCCGGTGGACAGGCTGCCGTAATCACAGGTATAAATCTTAAACATCATATTTACTCATTCAGATTATTTTACAAAAATGATAAACATGAAATAATCATATCATTCTTTACCAAGAAATGCTAAAATGTGCCACATTTTCTTAAATAGACAGGCCCCGTGTTTACAAAGATCAAATGTAAAAACTCGAATATTCTTCATTGCTGATCTTCATAGATTAAATATTTAGTTTTAACTTGAGAAAACTGGACTGAAAATACCATATTTATTAACATTTAGAATAAATTCATTGTTATTTTTGCAAAATACGGGCGTTTTACGGTGGATCCAAATTTTGATCTTGATCCTAAAATTGATTCTTATTTTGTTCCAAATATGTTTCTATTTGTTTTGTTTTTCGTTGATTTTATTCGAAAATATGTTGCTTGATTTGAAAATCAGCAATCTTTTACATTTTGAATATGTACCATTAATTCTAACATAATTCAATCAATTTTAGTTCTATAAAACAATGAAAATAGACAATGAACATTTGATCCTGATCCGGTTTTTTTCTTAGTGAACACGGGGCCAGTAGTTTATAAGTTTATTAATTATTTTAAGGTGGTATGGGTAATAATGCTGGTGGCAACACGAATTCAAAGAGAACTATACAGGTTAGACAAGAAAGACAACAGCCATTGATCACAGAAACGATCACAGGTGGGCGTGTTGTAGGCGGAGCATTTGGAGGGGCGGGATCAGGTGGAGGTAGAGATTTTAAATAAATATATCTTTTTTCAAAACAGTATATTTGTTTTCAAAGTTTATGTCACCTCAATTTAATTTAATGGTATAAAGAATTATATACGCTGCAATTATTACTATTTGAGTTTTTATAACGACATAAAGAATATTTCCAAAATCTATAAGATAAATATCTTAAAAATGAATGGAAAATCCACAATTATATTTCTTACTATTAAAGTGCTTCTTATGTTAGAGGTGAAATGATTTGTTGCAGCACGTTTCTTTCTGTTTACTAACAATATTTATATTAAACATGTGTTGAATAATAGAGTCATTCTATGTTAAACGACAATAACATTATCGAACCCATATAATTTTACTGTTATAAATTCTATAAAAAAAGTTCTTTAGAAATAGTTCTATAGTCTATAAAACACTGTGTACAACTACATATGTTTTATATGAAAAACTGTTTCAGAATATAATAATTATGTATTAGTTTTGCAAATGAATATCCGTAAGTGTTACTGAACATATAATACGAAATGTAGGTCAACAATCTGGTAGCGTGTTAGTTCAAGAGACTTCAAGTCGACGTGGCGACCTAGGACAGGTTGGCGGACAGGTGGGCGGACAGATGGGCGGACAGGTGGGCGGACAGAGTACCATACAGGGATCGGGACAGTTTGAAACACGATTTACATCCGGAAGATCTCGTCCATCTACGTCTAATTCTGGCACAGTTGTTTCCATTGTTAAACAAACAGTTGCTGTGAGTCCAAGTTAATTTTTTAGAATGTGATGCATTATTTACAAGTGGAACTAACTAGTGGAAAAAGAGAGTTATTATAGTTTAATCTTATGAAAATGTTATGCTATTACATTCATTTGTTGTAGTCGAGATAGTAGGCACTGAAGTCAGGCATACTTTATATACTCGAACTTTTTGTGTCGCCCTCTACAAAGTAGCGGCGACATACAGAGATAACTTCTCTGTCTGTCCGTCCGTTCATCACAAAACTTGTTCGGACCACACCTCAAAAACCACTGGTGCAATTTCATCAAAACTTCACGGAAATAACCAGTACCAAGTCTAGATGTGCATATCGTCGGCATTTGCCAGTTCTATGATTTTTCTCAATGTTAAAGACCTTTTTAAAGTTTTGTCTACACAAATTCTCTTTTACTAATAATGCAATTTGATGATACCTCATTTACTTGCGTATAATTAATGAGTTTTTCCAGTTAAATGAATTTTGACTGAGTTATGGCCCTTGGAACGTAAACAAAAAAAACAACTTTTAGGCCTGTTGATAATTTTGTGTCTCCTGCTATACAGTAGCTACAACATGCTACAAAGTATACGCGAAATGTACGGAACAACCGCAATACAACTGCTTAATGGGCTCGTGATCACCAATTGCTCTTATGTATTGTACTGTCTTATTTGCTAATTATTTGTATTGTTCAATATTTACATTTATTACTCACAATCATAAAACATCGATAAGATATAAAATATTAATAAATGCTTAAAAATACCGGTCGCAAAGCCTCAAAAATTTTGTTAAGGACTTCAATTCAACTCACAGCCCGCGTAATAACTATACCATGTATCTTTCTATACAGGGTGAGGCAGGACCAAGTATACCTGATAGATCAGCTCCACGTGGAGCGGAAGCACGTGGTGTTAGGAAACAAGATGAAGGCCGTATTGTTGGTATAAGCGTTCCTGCTCATAGTGAATTTGTCTCTGGTGCTACCGTCATTGGTACGTAACAACAGTGTTTTAATTAATAATGAAAATAATGTTTCAGAACGTGAACTCAATTATATAAGATCTAATCTAATTGTCGTGCCATGCTACAGGGGACCAATAAAATAAAAAAAAAGATAAATTTATACGGGGAAGTCAAAGTCTTTGACTTGCCCGGTTATAAACTACAAGGAAAATATCAAATCACATCAAATATAATTAAAGGATATATAGATTTCTATACCTATCAGTTAATTTGTTTAAGCCACCTTTTTAAATGTAACTCAATGATAATTGACGAGGTTTCCTGAAAACGGAACAATCGCAACTTTTCGACGGATGACGGAAGCAATGCATGAAATACCGAATGAAACCTTTAAAACGAAAATTTACAATAAGAAAATTAACGAAACTATTTAATCTGACTTCCTCGTTTATAGGCTTTGTCGGTTTTCATATTTCATTAATGAAGACAATATTTTCATAGTTAAGAACTTTTCAAACAATGCTGAACATCCATGTCGTGTTTATTAGGCAGGGGAGAGAAGGCTGTTAGGGTAACTAACACACAACCCGGAATTCGCATCAACGAAATAGTACAGGAAATCAATCCAACGATGTTTGAAGCTACAGGAGGATTTACAAGTGGTGGTACATCCGGTTCCGGTTCATCATCATGGCAAACTTCCGCTTCCGGTCAAGCAGGTGGTTCATTTGGCGCAGCTTCCGGTGGCTCATCGTCTGGTGGCTCCGGTCAATTCGTTGGACGCAGGGTTAGTTTGATGACCAAGAGCATTTTACTTGTACTTTAAAATTAGATTAAAACTTTATTACAGTAGGAGAGCTTAAATTGCCTCGTAAAAGAAAGTCATTGTTTTGATTAAGCACCTGTGTAGCACCGTCTTGTAGAGAGAAGTCCTTTCAGAACAGCATACATGCGATGAAATAATACTTCAACAATTTGGTAAATGTTTCAATCAAAATCCATCAATCTTTAATCGATCTTTAAACTTCATTAATTTTGATCAGTTTCTTCACGGAATCGTATCTTTAAATACACGTGTCTAGAGATGCAAAGTGGATTTTATCGAAATCAAATGCATGTATATGTCAATATAGCAATCCCTTTCTTTTTCATAACTCGACCAGCATTCAAATTTTATGATATATCATGTACCAATGTTGCAGATAATTACCGACGCTACCGGAATGGCAGGCGGAGATTTCACACAGATGGGCAAGGTTGTCGGATCAGGAGGCGGAGTCAAGAGAGTGATTGACACCAATATTAAAAGAATGCCAGCAGGGGAGGTACAGTTTAACGCGGATGGCGGAGTCAGTTTGGAATCTCTTGGTCTTGGAGGTGCTGAAGGCGCAAATATTATCCGACAAACAGTGAGGGTAGAACCTGTCGGTAACGGACAATTTGTCGGAGCAGGTACGTCTATTGTCATGCTACCATCAGTTGTAACCACGCCCCTTGGGGAACGCCCCTGGGGGATGAGGTTAATGGCCCGGATATTAATGGCGTAGACATGAATCAAAGTTTTACTATCTTAATGTTCCGTCACATCCGGGTCATAACGGTGGTATTGTTCTGTTTGTTGTTGTTGTTTTTGTTGCTGTTGTTTTGCTGAAAAAATAATGGCGGATATCTCAACTTCTCAACTTTTAGCGTAAAATTTTATTATCTTACTGTACCCCAATGGCTGGCCCATTGATGATATAAAAATCAGTTCCTATGCAAAAGGGGCGGTGTTAAGATTATTTGAGGCATTACAGTGAAAATATGAGATAAATGAAAAGAAAAGAAACAACATATCTCGACATAGAGCTTGGTCTCGGAGTGTCGGGCCTGATGAGAAATTAGACAATAATCAAAGAAAGAATTAAGTCCCACATATTTTCAATATGTAGCAAATAGAGGCGCAATGGTAATTTGATAATCAGTCTTATGAAAGTTTGATACAAAGCTTACTCAGTTATCTTCAAATTGTTTATTACGTACTAAAACATATACTGAACATCATTAGCTGCTCTAACTATTCTGATACAGTACAACCTCTACATAGCAGTACCCTTTGGAAGGCAATTATTTTAGTTGTTGCTGTAAGGGGCTGCTTTAGAGAGGTTAAATCTATTGAGAAGTCATACTTTCTGAAAGATTCAAGCTGCTGTTGTTAAGAGGTGGTTGCTCTATGGAGGGTAACTCAGTCGAAGTTTCACTGTATCCTAAATTTTCGTGTTTTTTCGGCCCCCATTAATATGTTCAATGCTCTTATATCTTTAACAAATTTATTATACACATAATCACTGTATTGTATTATTGTTATTAATTTATGTTGTTTGTGTAAGCATAAATATTTTGAAAGTCTATAAGAGATTGATTTTGCTGACTGTTTTTGCTTATTCTGCCAGTAAAATTTGTTATACATGTACTCATATTTGTTTCTAACGCACATGCATCATTTGATTAGTCAGACCATACGCCATCCGCCGCAGTTGTAGTCCCTGTGAAAAGTAGACCGAATGTAAAACGAATATTATGGTTTGAATAAGGATCCATCCGCCCTTTCAGGCATTGAATTTTATGGTAGTTTTGTATTAGTTTACCTGGACCTGTTTTCCCCTCTGAGAAAGTAGTTCGACGAGTATTAATCTGTGAAATTTAATAAATAATCCTGTAGAATACTAAACTGCCTTCCATCAGTCAGCAGCACTTTGAGTACTTTGATTTTTTTCCAGGTGGTCAATTCCAAAGTAGCATGAGCGGATCAGCTGGTGGCGGATCTCAAGGATTTATGTCCGCTAATACTTTAAACCAAGGTTCGAGTGGCTCAGGGCAACGTGGGTCTTTCTCGGCTAGTGGATCTACAAGTAAGTGTACAGGTCTTCTAAACTGTGAAGGCAGTGTTTTGAATGCGGTAAAAAAAACTACCATTTTAAGCGCAAAGTGAATGTTAATTGAGAACATTTCACAAATTTAGCTGATTCTTTCCTCATCTACATCAGGATTGTTACTTAAATTAATGTTTTCTTTGCTCGTATAGAAGAACAAGACTTAGTTCAGTAATTTGTTTAGGCGACATAAAAACTGTTACGTTTAAAGAATAATCACGTATAAAATTTGAATGTTGTTTTTAACTTTTTTCTGACACAACTCGGCAGCGTAAGGGTTACTCATAGTAAATTTTTTATGTTTTACATTTACAGTTGTCGGTGGTTCTACTCAGGTGCCCGTTTGTGTCTGAAATAATGCATGGAAGGGGACTTGAGGTCTTCCTCCACCAGTAAAGCTGGAACGTCGCCATATAACCTATACTGTGTCGGTGTGACGTAAAACCAAATCAAACATTTACAGTTTTTCTCAACGTTTCAAAGAAATAAAGACTAATGTTTTTGACATGCGTTTTTTTTAAATATAGGCGGATCGTCCGGAAGTGGAATATTTGACATGAATGCACTGAACCGTGGAGCTGGTGGACAAATGAGCGCACAAGGAAACTCAAACCTTTTCCCGTTACTTCCTGTGTTTGCCGATAGCGCAGAAAATATTATGGACGGTCTTGGAGGCAAGCGAAAACGCAGGTATGTATTCAAAATTGTTACGTGCATGAACATGTTTGTCATTATTGTACGTTTGAGTAGAAATCATTCTGTATAGGTAAAGCAAATAAGACCATTTCAAAGGCTCTTATAAAACAATATCACCTGACCACGTGTGTTTGAATCAATTTGCATGTAACTGTTACTTTTTTCTGTCTGTACAGTATATATAGTCCATCTGATGGATATTCATTTTTAAAGTATTTCGGAAATAAACTTTCCATTTCGTTCACCAAAGGTTTGAAAAAACAACAACACAAAAACTCTTTTTCAGGTCTACACGAAATTCACGTGCAAAGCGAGCTACAAATAAACAGAATTACCAGGCCTTAGTTACCAACTGTCAAGGTCAAGACGGACAAGGACCTTCTATAATGGTAGTAGCTAATCAAGGAGATGTCCAGTTTGCATTAAAGACATATAACCAGGATCCTGCAGTTATTTCCGTGCCTGCTGTACGTTTCAATATCCTTATTTTAGTTTCGGAATCTCAGCTTCCGGTTGTCAGTTTCCGGTTTTATTATTTTATTTCGTACCTGCCGTACGTTTTAATATCATTATTTTAGTTTACGAATCTCAACTTCCGGTTGTCAGTTTCCGGTTTTATTGTTTTATTTCGTACCTGCCGTACGTTTCAATATCTTTATTTTAATTTCTGAATCTCAACTTCCGGTTGTCAGTTTCCGGTTTTATTTTTCTTTTATAAGACAATCACGAATGTGCTTATCAATGAAAATATCTCGTATTACATATAAAGAGTTATCACAATTTATTTAAACTTGTTTACATGAGAAAGAAATCATGGCTTTATCTAGATAGTTATTATTTGTTATTATTTGAATAGAAAATTGGTTAGATTATTTCTTTCACGCATTTACAAATATTTATGTCATGATATATTATCAAATAAAAATATGATTGACAAGATCAACTTTCAATGAACATTTTCAAATTAGAACATAGTATCTAACAAATGTTGTTTTTTTAGGTTGAAGGTTGGAATGACGTCACATTAATTTATGATGGTAGAGAGTTAACAGGCGTCGTAGAGAACTGGAAGGGTCTTCATAAGGCCTCAGTCAGTCTACAAGGTAAACATTGGATTTTTATTTCTTCTTTTTTTTTGTAAATTAAAGCAGGATCTTTCAAATTTTCAAATAGCCTGATTAAAACTAGTTGTTAATTCAGCAAATAATTTCTTGTGGATACAGGAAGTTTACATTCATTTATTATAAAAATGTTAAAAATTACTTACCAACAGGAACCTTTGCTTATTTTGAAAAGGTTGAAGACTGAATAAAAATTCAAAACAAAAGAGGTATATGTATAAAATAAGTTAATACAAAGAATGATATATTTGTAATATTATAAACCAATGTTTTATTATCAGGGAACGTGGAAAGAAGACAGGCCGGATTATTGGTCGGTTCCTGTCAAGGTTTTGCCAGTTTCCATGGTGAAATTGATGACGTACGTATAAATGAAAAATATAGTTCTTTAAAATAACACTTAATTCTTTGTAAATATCATTTTTCACTATTTTTATTATACAAAAAATCAAAGGTTAAAGGTATTTCAAACTGAGATGTATATTATATATGTAAAAATTGTATCTCGTGAAAAGCTTTCGGTAAAGTCATGTTTTAATTAAATAAGGTCTTGAAGAATTCAGTAAATATGCGCGAAAGATGAAAACAGTTTCAGTAATTCAATACAGTACAATCCCTAATAAAGACCACATCGGAATTAAGACCACCCTCTGTACTTATTTCTTAAATTTTATGTATTAACTTACAATGAGTTTCAATCTCTTTTATTTCAGCTGAGTGTATATAAGTGCTTGACCCCGGCCATTGAGGAGTTGAGGGACAGAATTGTTCTATAGTTTTAGAATCTTCAAGTGGCTTTGAATAGCACACAATGTTCTCATTGCGCATGCGTAGTATATTTAAGCGTTAACATTACTAAAGACTTGTTTAAATCTTCAGCAAATTGTCTGAAGCTCGCTAACGTCGCTTGTTTTATTTATTTATATTGTAAAGTTATTTTCATTTTTCTTCAAATACAACATCAGTGAAAACTATAAGTATGTAAATAATGTATGTATAATTTTCAATAAAATCAAATGAAAATTTTAATTTTGTTAATTGTCTTCCCCGAAGTAGCAAAAAATGTTTGTTTTGTTGGGTTTGGATTCAGACCGACAGTTAAGTTCATGACAAACTGGCGGAGGAAATACTCAGGCGCATGTTCGTATGGTGGCTAATTTGGTACGCTTTTGTGCGTCTAGTTGGCGCTAGCGACAACGGGACAAATCGCCAAACGGCGCGTTATCAGACATTCGTCTTGTCGCTAGCGACAAAGCGCGAAACGGCGCGCTGTCGTCTTGTCGTCCTGTCTCTAGCGCGGCATTCCAAACGGCGCGTTGTCGTGCGGCGCGATGTCGCCCTTTCGCTTAGCTTATAAACCAATCCTTCAATTTGAACCGAGCGACAATGTGACATTGCGACAACACGCCGCACGACAACGCACCGTTTAGCGTGCCGCGCTAGAGACAGGACGACAAGATGACAAAATAAGCTGTATTCAAACCACGGAGCTTAAAAGAGAATGTATATCTGTGATTCAAACCAAACTGCAATATGGGCTAGTGATTCTGTAGCAAGCAACGTTTACCACTCGGCCACAGAAACCTCTACATGTACGACGGCTGTCCCTCCCACTATGGTTATAACAAAAATTATAACGTCCGAGTGTAAAATAATTTTGCGCAGGCGTATCTTCATTAAATTGAAGTAAAAGTAAGTAACATTATTTTAAGTTAGTATCTATACATAAAATAATTAAATATTTATACAGTCCTGAGGTGTGTGTATGCGGTCCACGTAACGCCAAAAATGCATTAAAAGTGTATACGTCACAAAGGTTATACTTTGTAAAGAAGGAACAGTAACATGGAGTCGCATAACGTAATTACAACGTTGGAACAAATGGACCGCATAATTTTAGCAGGTAGTCTTATAATTTATTCTGTGTAATCAAGATAAATGATATCGTGCTGAATTTTTACAAGTACACCTATAAGCAATAACTTATCTAATATTTGTAATTATCTCTAAGAAGCCCATTGAGTAGTTAGTATTTAAATGATGTTGACCATGGCTTATTAGGACAGATTCCGTACATATCACCTATAGAGACATTTTGTTTAATATACAGGTTTTATTATAAACATACACTAGAAGTTCTCCTAGAATAAGCTGAACGACAAGAAAAAAAAACACAAGTAATTAATCCTATAGTATTACAATACTCCTGTTATATATCATATGTACTGAGAGACAAGTAGCAACACTTATTACATAATTAATGCATATATTTAAATAAGGGGCTTATTTCAGTATCATGATTTTCTTCTGAAATATAGTGGCATCGCTTCTGTTTAATCTAAGTTTATAAACATTATGTTGTCTGAAAAAGTTAACTTGTATTAGTAAGATTCGCAACTGATATAAAAAACATATTTTCTGGCATTTTTAATAAATGCCAATTTTTCAACCTCAAACATTTGTTATCTTATATTTTACAAACTAAGCCACTACAGTAACCATAACATATCCAATCGGAACATCCTCGGCTATTATCTATGATAATCCGGAGAATGACGGAAAGGGCCAAAAAGTTGCGATTGTAACAGCCACACCGCCTAGTATTTACACACTTTGAAAGAAGACCTTATTATGCAAGGAAGTGGCACTTATAATAATGGACAAACACTGCATTTTTGTTCAAAATAATGCAAAATATATGACGGTTTGTGCTGGCGAGACACATTTCGATAATAAATGAGCCGCGTCACGACAAAACCAACATAATGGGTTTGCGACCAGCATGGATTGAGACCAGCCTGCGCATCCGCGCGATCTGATCAGGATCCATGCTGTTCGCTTTCTTACTCTATTACAAGTAGAGAAACTGATAGCGAACAACATGGATCCTGATCAGACTGCGCGGAAGCGCAGGCTGGTCTGGATCCATGCTGGTCGCAATTAAACCCATTATGTTGGTTTTGTCATGACGCGGCTCAAATATCTAATAAAAAATAGAAGCGTGAGACAAAACAAATAATAAGAGAGATAAAACTGTTTGACAGGATTAGTTGATTTTAATTTCATTGCTAGCAAATCATTGGTTTATTTGTTAAGGATTAAAGTATTAAATAAAAAAAGAAATTTACCATGGGCATTAACAAATATGTTATATGAAGGATTAAACATACATTAGTAACTGTATTTTAATACGTTGCCCAGTTCATACCACATGTACTATCAAATTCGAATACTACATTAAACAAAAATCAAGGCTGATATATTCGAGGCAATTTTTCTATGATCGTTTATTAGTCTCTCATACAAACACACAATGTTTCATTAAATAGTTATATGGTTATATAAACAAACATCCTTTCGCTAACCTTAATATGATATTACCATTTTATTGTTTTGCTTTGTTGCAGTTGACTATGCTACCTATAGATGTATTATGTTATATACGTTACATGATGTTTAAAGCAAATGAACTGTATTGTATTATGTCGTGTTGTGTCGCATCGCGTCGCGTCGCATCATATCGCATCGCATCGTATCGTATTGTATTGTATTGTGTATTCATATTCTTTCTACATATTAATCATACTGTTACAATATCAGTTGAATGATAATAACAACAAGACTCATTAGTGAAAGATATAAATTAGCAAATTAGCAAATGCCTTTAAGTCATGGGGTGATCCTATGTTACATTGTACAATAAACTAATGTCATGTGACAACCTACTCGGACGACAGAAAGGCATTCTTTTAATTTAGAAGACAAACACTTGTTTTTTAATATTCATTCATTCATTCATTCATTCATTCTTCATTCATTCATTCAATCATTTATTTATTTATTTATTTATCGTTTTGTTTTCTTGTTCTTTTTTTTTTCAGAGTGACATTTTCTTATTTAAATGATTTTATAGGCTAGTTCCTAATTAAGAAAAAACAACATATTTAAATTTGATTGTCATGCGCATTACAAATTTAATTATTAGAATTTATCAGACGCGCACTTGATTTATATCTTTTCTGTTTTTCTGTTCAACTAAATTTCAAAAAATAAATAACACATGAAATATACGATTGTTATTTTACGGAAGATGAAATGAGAACCATAATTTAGCATGAAGTGTTTTGCACCTTGCAGGAGACGCGGTCACTATAACAATGGGTATATCTATATTTTTACCTGTGTAAAAACAAAACAATAATAAAAAAACAACAAAAACAAATTTATTCATACAATGTAATCAAAATTGCATGGCTTAACTTGGAGGCAAAACAAATATTTACTAGAGATACCTGGCAACTACAAAAGCTTTTAAATCCATGATACAATCGAGTTGTTGATTTGGTTTTTTATTAAATGTATTGTAAGTTAACCAGTACAGAAAAGAAAATTGCTAAATTGTAATGTTCTGTGCACAAATAATATCGTTGATGTTGAATAAAAAAAATTAAGATGGGGGAAAAACAGAAAAGAAAATGCTATATGGTCACAAACAATAATAAAAACGTACTTGACATTTAGGCGATGAGAAAAACCCAGCTTTGGTGTTGTAGTTGGTGGTTGTGGTAGTGTTGGTGGCGCCGCCGCCGCCGCGACTTTGTGTTCAAACAGATATTGCAGTCAAGCGCACTATTACACGATACATGCACAGCATAAAAAGGAACAGCTTATACGTCGTATGACGTCAGATATGACTTCATTTAACCGAATGACGCCAGGAAATTTACTTCTACGCTCAATGTGCAATGAAGTTCAATGTAGCATTAGCATGTTGGAATAGAAATAGATATTAATGGTTATCACACACCCGTGCCAATTTTGCGACTCCGTAAATATGGTATTGCACGGCCGTGCATATATTTTGACGTGATGTCATTAGGGTTATACAAACATAGTGTAAAGACGCGCTAAATGTTAGCGTTATACTATAGGCGCGTCAATAAAAATGACTCTTATTTCACTAATAACGGTCTCTATTTTGGGTATGTGATAATTTAAAATAGAATATTAAATTCGTGTAAGTTCATTACTGAATTTATTGGACTCGTTGGATTAAATAATATTATGCTCGCCAGAGGCTCGCATAATATAATTTTATTCAACTCGTGCAATAAACTCAGTATTGAACTTATACTCATTCAATATCCTCTATTTCTAACGTTATAATATAACAATTCAAAAGCTGACAGATAAACATAATTAAAGCAATTACATTTTTTTCCATTAAGGGATTATTGTTAAATATTGCGAAATGTATTTAGGTTTCAAATAAACTGGATAAACATTTTGCGAAACAAAAATGGAATGATAGTAAAAACATGATACAACAATGACTCTTTGTTATCTACAGTGAGTTCGTCCACATTAATAACTTAAATTGTAAAATATTATATAACAAATTGCAATCGATTAACATCCGGAGACCCCTTATCGATAATGAAATTTCCGAAAGAACGAAAACTGTGATTGGTCAATTCATACGTGAAGCCCTGCCCATGCGGGAGTTCCATTCGTCGACACCCAAATATTTTAGTTGATCATCATGTGTCTCAGGCTTTTCCCCTGGGGAACATATGAAAAATATCTATAAATTAAAAGCCGCCCTTAAACTTTCTTAATGTGTTGATTAAAGTTTTAAACAAGCTTAATTTCAAGAAATACAATCCGAGGATTTCAAGTTTTTTGTGGTTTAGTTTTCTTTTCGTGGAAAGCAGGGAATTTTTTACCTAACATCAAATCCAAAAAATTTTTTAAAATGTTTTTCCTTTTTTCGAATCTACATTTTTTTCCATTCAAAATTCATTCCAAATTTTATTATATATTTGACGAGGGCCATGATCAGAATTTTACGAAAGTACCTGATATCTGTCTGCACTGGTACTTTTGAAAAATTTTGTTATTACAGTAGAATAGACTTTTAATTTTTTTCCAAAAAGCTTTTTAAAGCCCATGAATAAAAATGCACAAAAACGAGAGTGATAACATCTTATATACTAATATCAACAATAATGAAAATCAATTTTGGTTGA